AAATGTTTCATTGTATTAGTTTTCGTTAACTAATATAATAATATGAAATCACTTACCTTTCCCACGTAGGCCAGCAGACGGGCGTTGAGAGGACTGTCATCTGAACTCAACCAGAACTCTGAGTTATCATCGGAAGAAACCGCAAACTGAAAATCACCTGCATATAGAATATACTTTCTTATTCTTTGATAACATGTATGTGTGTGATTGTGAGGGTTTGCACCCATTTGCACCTTGTTAATATAAACAAGCATTTACCATCTTTGTAAGGTAGAATGTATCCAAATATTCTCAGGCCATAGTTCTTCCATTTTGGAGCCACGGCCAACTTCTTCACAGTAGTTCTCGTCTGGAGAGATAAAACGCATGATTATGAAATTAGTATGTGGTGGGATGAGCAAAGACAGACACGGTAGGTGTGCTAAAATACAGTACTTTTTTACTTTTCAAACATCTCTGGAATAATTTAGCCTTGCTAAAGCTAATTTCAAAGCTAATATTTTGTGTTGTTTCACACACATTTAGCATAATTTGACAAAATCACAGCTTGGTTGGAAGTGACACAAAATATTTTGTTGGGAAATGATATTTACTTTGTTTTCTTCACACATCACATATTTTCAGATTTAATATTTTATCTTTTGCTGACACTGTTGCCACCTTATTAAACATGTTAATTAACGTTTAAAAAATCATTAATAGGCATAAAATTGATGGTTGTGTTGGAGATTATGCCAGAGAGACAACTATAATGAGTAAAACAAAAATAACAAAATAACTTCACACACACACACAATACATTTATAAAAAAAAATACATTTATTTATTCCACTGTATGTTTAGATTTTCACAAATTTATAATAAAAAAGCAACTATGAATAATGAAGACATACAAAGTTTTCAAGTCAGTTTTAATGTGATTGTCATAAAATTGTTATAAAAGTCTTATATCTTATAAAAATCAATCACTGAGACATAATGGGGCTCATTTTATTTCAAATAAAACACCTCTGTGAGTTCTGAAGCCGTTCCTGCTCTGTCTGTCCAATCTCACCCTGCCATAAATGCTAAACAGATATCTGTCATCTGTTTACAACAATCACAGGGACAGACAGACGGAGATAAAGAAGCGGAGGAACAGAGAGAAGGCTTTCCGGAACAGAGTAAGTATTTTCACAGTATTGGCTGTACGTGCTTTTAATTTGGGGCGAGTTCTGTCAGACATCTTGATCTGTGATCTATAAAAACAGGCCTGCCAAAAAAGAACCAAAAATTAAATATATAAATAAATGACAAAGTAAAGTTGAGGAGGTGGGAGGACTGTGTAGGTGGTCTGAACTAAACAGAATTCACAAAGACAGATCAGGAAAAGCCAACTGTATAATTCCACCCATTACAACATTTTGGGGCTTTCAATTAAATTCAACCACCCACATGAGGAGAGAACGCTGGAGGTTTGCAGACACACCTTCCAAAACCCTATAATAATCAACAAAAACTGCAGTTTGCCAAAAGTTTGTCAAAGGAATACTTCACCTAAAAATGGGTGAGTAAAATGACATCAGAATTGTGCCATGGTCATGTCATAACAAAATAAAAGTAATTAAAAATATTGTAATTATTTTATTTTATTTAATGTTTTAATTGTTAGGGACAGATACAATAAACATAGATGAAACTGAAATAACAGTCATCCCATGCATGTTGTCACGGTTCACACACACGAGGAACACGGGAACGAAGGAGCGAGGAGACACGGAGTAAAGTAACTCAAAAGGGTTTATTAAACAAAGGCTGGGGATCACAGGACTTGACACATCAGGATGACGTTCAACGACTGACAAAGGACAAGAACTAGAACACACTTTAAATAGACAGGAACTGATGAGGGGAAGACAAGGGACACCTGGAACTCATAAGACAATCAACATAGGAAACACCTGGGAACAAGGTATTCAAAACACGAGACAGAGAAACTGGATGACGGAGCACATAGGGAGCAAAGACACACACAAAACTTGGCCCAGAGTCTGACACATGTACCATAGTGCTTGCAGCCGAAGCTAATTTGCAACACTTGTCCCTAGGAGGGCTTTTATAAATTAGTTACAAAAAACAACAAGTAGTTGTCACGATCGCTACTGTGAGGGAGTGCGGAGCGAGGAACGAGGAGACGTGGAGTACATCAACAAGGAGACTTTAATAACATCAAGGAAACCAGGAAAAAACACGTAGCAGAGGAGGTTATTGACATAAACAATACCGGACCGAGAATAATGAACCGGAAACACTTTAAATACACAAGACATGACGAGAAACACCTGGAACTAATGAAACATAATAGGAACAGGAAACAGGAAGAACCAAATATGGGCATAAGGAAACACGAGGGAGAACTTGGGGGAGGAAAACACAACACAATGGGAACACAATTCTGACATTACTCCCCCCTCCAGGAAGGCGTGTCCTCGCACCTCACAACATCCAACGGGGAGAGGGGGTGGGCGCTCTGGAGGCCCCTCAGGACAGACACGGGACAGCAGGCCTCCAGAGCGGTACCCATTCCAGGACCCCTGGTGGATCCGGCAGACTAGGAGGCCATGGCGGAGCAGGCAGACTAGGAGGCCATGGCGGAGCAGGCAGACTGGGAAGCCATGGCGGAGCAGGCAGTTCCAGAGGCCATGGCGGAGCAGGCAGTTCAGGAGGCCATGGCGGAACAGCCAGACTAGGAAGCCATGGCGGAGCAGACAGTTCAGGAGGCCATGGCGGAACAGGGAGCTCGGGGAGCCTGGCATCGGCACTCGCCCGGCCTCCACGGATGGACCCCTACTACCCCCCAAAAAAAAATAAATCCTTGTGGAGAATGTCGGTTTCAGAGGCCCTCCATAGGCCTAACTCGGGAACTGTGGCCCTCCCTGTGCTTTACGTGGGGACTGGAGCCATCCTTGGGCTGAACATGGGGACTGGAGCCCTCCTTGGGCTAAACTCGGGGACTGGAACCCTCTCTGGGCCAAACTCTGAGACTGGGGTCCTCTCTGGGCTAAACTCGGAGACTGGGGCCCTCTCTGGGCTAAACTCGGGGACAGGAGTCCTCACTGGGCTAAACTCGGGGACAGGAGCCCTCACTGGGCTAAACTCGGGGACAGGAGCCCTCACTGGGCTAGACTCGGGCACTGGGACCCTCTCTGGGCTAGACTCGGGGAATGGAGCCCTCCATGGGCTAAAATCAGGAACAGGAGCCCTCCGTGGGCTAAACGAGGGTACTGCAGCCTTATCTTGATGCTGGTCTGGGGCTAGAGCCATCTCTCGACTCTGGTCAGGGGATAGAGCTGATACTGGAGCGAACTCTGGGGCTGGAGCCGACACTAAAGCGAGCTCTGGGGGGCGCTCTCAGGCGAGGAAGTGGGCCGTGAGCCATCCTTTTCTCCTCATCCACCTCTTTTGGTTACGGGTGAATAGGGCGGCCAGCGGGCTTGGGTCAGCGGCGGCCGGCAGGTTTGCGAGAGCTGCGGCTGGCGGGCTCGACTTCTTAGCGGCCGGCAGGCTTGAGAAGGGGCGCCGCTTACTGTTTCTGTTTTGGTCCGGTATTCTGTCACAATCGCTACTGTGAGGGAGCATGGAGCGAGGAATGAGGAGACATGGAGTACATCAACAAGGAGACTTTAATAACATCAAGGAAACCAGGAAAACACACGTAGCAGAGGAGGCTGACATAAACAATACCGAACCAAGAACAACGAACCGGAAACACTTGAAATACACAAGACATGACGAGAAACACCTGGAACTAATGAAACATAATAGGAACAGGAAACAGGAAGAACCAAATATGGGCATAAGGAAACACGAGGGAGAACTTGGGGGAGGAAAACACAACACAACGGGAACACAAGTCTGACAGTAGTACACACATTTATGATATAAGTACACTAAACAAGACTACTAAGTTTGTTGATGTATCAACCAAGATTTCGTGGCTTTTTTAAAATGATTATAATTTGCAATAGATTTTAAATAGTCAGGCAATGTGTTCCAAAATTTTACACCTTTCACTGAGAGAACAGTCTGAGCAAATGATGTTGTGCAATGTATAACTTTACATTTTCCACTAGAGGCCGCTCTAATGGATCTACTGCTCCCCTACAATCTCTCAAAAAATTTACATAAGGGCATAGGAGCAAGACCATTTAAACATTTAAATACTTTACTTTTACTTTACTTTTACTTTTAGTCATTTAGCAGACGCTTTTATCCAAAGCGACTTACAAATAAGAAAAAGTAATTAAAACTAAAAGCTAAAACTCTATAAATACTATATATATATACACATTTAAGAAAATAAAAGAAATTAAATAAAAATGACAAATGCATACAACAACATTTCAAAACTAAAACATTTAAATGAAAACAAAAAAATAAAGCTAAAAACAATTCAAAAATATTAAAAAGAACAAAAGGTATGAGTATAATAATGATTCTAACATAACACTAAGCTTTACAGAGTAAACTTTACAAAGTAAACTTTACATAATGAATAAAGACAAAGTGAGCACAGCTCAATGGCAAATATGGCAAATTAATGAATAATTGAATGAATAAATAAATACATAAATAAAATATTTTCATGGTGACACCAAATAATAATAATAATAATAAATGATTTCCATGGTGACACCAAAATAAAAAGTAATTAAATAATAATAATAATAATAATAGTAAATATATATTAAATTATTAATAATAATAAATTATTTCCATGGCAATAAATAAACAAATAAATAAATAAATACATTTTGTGGTGACTCCAAAATAAATGTAATTAATTAACAATAATAATAATAATAAATCCAAATAATTCATAATTCATTATCAAAACTATAATATACGTATAATCTTATAATTTTTAAGTCAACAATAAACTCATATATTTTACTTATATTTATTTTACAATACACAAATACAACTTGCTAATGCAAAAAGTAGTTGGTATAAGGAGGAGGAGCATTATTTTTTAGAGAGAATGGGATTGGCTCAAATTTTGACACGCCCTTGAGTGCAGGATGTTCATTTTAAATGCATATATGCACGATAAAATATTTGCATCAGATGATGTTTTAGACTGAATTCCATGAAATGAAATCTAAAAACACTGAAGTTCTTCTTCCACGGTAGAGAAATGGATTTTCCAACTGAGTGCAACACACTGACAAGTTCTTCTAAAGAGCACGTTCCTCCCAACGATCACATAGCTGCTTGTTTACTCGGCTTTCTGCTAATATTTACTTTCCACCGTTTCAGTTACGCTTCACTGGGCTCCCCATGCAAATTTACGGCCGCTGTAGTGAAAGACGTGGGCTTGTGTTTTAAAATGCCAAACACAGCGCTGTCACATTACTCTAAAACTCAATTACGTTTTTCCTCATATCAGCACGACAGCTGCCATCAAACCAAAACAACACGCTCAAATATCCCTACTAAAGTTTACCGTACCAATAACTCTATGCATCACATCTGTATTTTACACATTTTTTATACAAGATTGTCATAATCATAATTCCAGATTTCACTATTTGTCTTTCCATTTAGCTCAACTCCATCATAACAGTATCCTCCATCTCATAAATCATACAAGCTAAACAGATATTCAATAATTAATGTGTTGATATTAATAATTAACTCGCTCATCTAAAAACAAATTGTCCTCTTTAAAGCTTCCTGCAGTAAATACCGGCCACGGGACCAATAAAAAAGAATCCAAACTGTTTCAAGATTTGAATTAAAGATTCATTTTTAATATCTCAAAGCACTGCACATCAGTAAATCCACACCACTTTTGCTATTAATTATCTCCGAAAACATAATTACGCACAATTTTCAGTATATAAGCAGGGCATCATCTTCCACTATTTTTCCTACAAACTCCTGATGTTTATGTGAGCAGAGCACACACGTCTCTCGAGACGGGAGTCTGAGTTATAGCCGCTCCAGGACAATAGATAAACCAATTTCATCTCTACATCACCTGAGAATACATGAACGTGAGATCTAGTCTGTGGGAGTTTTGAATTATGAAAGACACAGAGAAGCACAGACATGCACACACTCTCAAGAAAATAACAAACAGACACATCCAACTGACCAAACGTCTGAGACCTTCATGTAAACCTGGACGTTTGGGATTTCTTCCATTAAAGCACGAGAACGTGATCATGAGGTTTTGTCCATGTCAACTTGAGTGCTGCTGTCAGCAAACCAAATACTAATGCGCTCTCAAATTGTTATGCAAATAATATGATATGCCACTAAAAATGCTAAATAGAAGTAGTCTCAGATTTTGGAGCAGAAGGTGATTGTGTTTCTGTTGATACTCACATGGGGGTAGAGAGGAAAATGCAGGTTCTTCCTGAGCTGAGCGACTGAAGAGCCACACCAGTCCTCAAAGACGTGGAGATTTGCTTGACCTTTAAACTGGGAAGAAGAAACATGGAAGACCTGAAGATTGCTTTCGGACACACTGCTGAAGTGTATAAAAATTTGAATAAAAAAACTGAATTTAATGTTTTGCCACAATTTGTTTTTTTAATTGAAGAATTGCGTTTTTAAATAAAAATATTACCAAATGTTAAAATTAAACACGCTGACATTATGCTAATGACTTCTCAGTTAAGAGAAAAGAAAGATCTGACCGCATGACGGCACACGCGATAAATTACTCACGATGAGAGTGCGCTCAATGAAGGACCGTAACGTAACAGAACAGAATGCATTTTTTCGTTGACAATGATGGCAGTGGAATGGGGAAAAAACATAAGGTTATGAGACGTCAGTTGAACTTGTTTTAACTTGAGCGCCATATTTTTAGAATGCCGTTTGAAACATGAGATGCTGCATAAGATGCAAGACTCCAACGCAAATGTCAAACATGTCCATCAAACACATTTACAGAAAAACAATGGAAAATTAGCGCAATGGAATGAAAAACCTGTAAAGAACCACTACTGTATGTCTGATATTTCATGTTTGCATGATGCTTAGAGGCTGAAAGCTGCTGTTATTTTATTTATTTTTAAACACGATATTTAATGTTAATAACAGTCTATTGGTGTTAGAATTTTAGTCATTTTGAATTTGAATAGCCTTGACATTTAGAGGCTCATTTTTAGCATTCTGAAAATATATTATAGGATATGTTTAAGACAAGTTTGTACAATATGTGCCTTCATTTCATACATATTTTCAGCAAATATATTTAACAATTTAATTAGTTTTTTTGCCATATCAGATAGATAGATAGATAGATAGATGATAGATAGATAGATAGGTAGATAGATAGATAGATAGATAGATGATAGATAGATAGATAGGTAGATAGATAGATAGATAGATAGATGATAGATAGATAGATAGGTAGATAGATAGATAGATAGATAGATGATAGATAGATAGATAGGTAGATAGATAGATAGATAGATAGATGATAGATAGATAGATAGGTAGATAGATAGATAGATAGATAGATGATAGATAGATAGATAGGTAGATAGATAGATAGATAGATAGATGATAGATAGATAGATAGGTAGATAGATAGATAGATAGATAGATGATAGATAGATAGATAGGTAGATAGATAGATAGATAGATAGATGATAGATAGATAGATAGGTAGATAGATAGATAGATAGATAGATGATAGATAGATAGATAGGTAGATAGATAGATAGATAGATAGATGATAGATAGATAGATAGGTAGATAGATAGATAGATAGATAGATGATAGATAGATAGATAGGTAGATAGATAGATAGATAGATAGATGATAGATAGATAGATAGGTAGATAGATAGATAGATAGATAGATGATAGATAGATAGATAGGTAGATAGATAGATAGATAGATAGATGATAGATAGATAGATAGGTAGATAGATAGATAGATAGATAGATGATAGATAGATAGATAGGTAGATAGATAGATAGATAGATAGATGATAGATAGATAGATAGGTAGATAGATAGATAGATAGATAGATGATAGATAGATAGATAGGTAGATAGATAGATAGATAGATAGATGATAGATAGATAGATAGGTAGATAGATAGATAGATAGATAGATGATAGATAGATAGATAGGTAGATAGATAGATAGATAGATAGATGATAGATAGATAGATAGGTAGATAGATAGATAGATAGATAGATGATAGATAGATAGATAGGTAGATAGATAGATAGATAGATAGATGATAGATAGATAGATAGGTAGATAGATAGATAGATAGATAGATGATAGATAGATAGATAGGTAGATAGATAGATAGATAGATAGATGATAGATAGATAGATAGGTAGATAGATAGATAGATAGATAGATGATAGATAGATAGATAGGTAGATAGATAGATAGATAGATAGATGATAGATAGATAGATAGGTAGATAGATAGATAGATAGATAGATGATAGATAGATAGATAGGTAGATAGATAGATAGATAGATAGATGATAGATAGATAGATAGGTAGATAGATAGATAGATAGATAGATGATAGATAGATAGATAGGTAGATAGATAGATAGATAGATAGATGATAGATAGATAGATAGGTAGATAGATAGATAGATAGATAGATGATAGATAGATAGATAGGTAGATAGATAGATAGATAGATAGATGATAGATAGATAGATAGGTAGATAGATAGATAGATAGATAGATGATAGATAGATAGATAGGTAGATAGATAGATAGATAGATAGATGATAGATAGATAGATAGGTAGATAGATAGATAGATAGATAGATGATAGATAGATAGATAGGTAGATAGATAGATAGATAGATAGATGATAGATAGATAGATAGGTAGATAGATAGATAGATAGATAGATGATAGATAGATAGATAGGTAGATAGATAGATAGATAGATAGATGATAGATAGATAGATAGGTAGATAGATAGATAGATAGATAGATGATAGATAGATAGATAGGTAGATAGATAGATAGATAGATAGATGATAGATAGATAGATAGGTAGATAGATAGATAGATAGATAGATGATAGATAGATAGATAGGTAGATAGATAGATAGATAGATAGATGATAGATAGATAGATAGGTAGATAGATAGATAGATAGATAGATGATAGATAGATAGATAGGTAGATAGATAGATAGATAGATAGATGATAGATAGATAGATAGGTAGATAGATAGATAGATAGATAGATGATAGATAGATAGATAGGTAGATAGATAGATAGATAGATAGATGATAGATAGATAGATAGGTAGATAGATAGATAGATAGATAGATGATAGATAGATAGATAGGTAGATAGATAGATAGATAGATAGATGATAGATAGATAGATAGGTAGATAGATAGATAGATAGATAGATGATAGATAGATAGATAGGTAGATAGATAGATAGATAGATAGATGATAGATAGATAGATAGGTAGATAGATAGATAGATAGATAGATGATAGATAGATAGATAGGTAGATAGATAGATAGATAGATAGATGATAGATAGATAGATAGGTAGATAGATAGATAGATAGATAGATGATAGATAGATAGATAGGTAGATAGATAGATAGATAGATAGATGATAGATAGATAGATAGGTAGATAGATAGATAGATAGATAGATGATAGATAGATAGATAGGTAGATAGATAGATAGATAGATAGATGATAGATAGATAGATAGGTAGATAGATAGATAGATAGATAGATGATAGATAGATAGATAGGTAGATAGATAGATAGATAGATAGATGATAGATAGATAGATAGGTAGATAGATAGATAGATAGATAGATGATAGATAGATAGATAGGTAGATAGATAGATAGATAGATAGATGATAGATAGATAGATAGGTAGATAGATAGATAGATAGATAGATGATAGATAGATAGATAGGTAGATAGATAGATAGATAGATAGATGATAGATAGATAGATAGGTAGATAGATAGATAGATAGATAGATGATAGATAGATAGATAGGTAGATAGATAGATAGATAGATAGATGATAGATAGATAGATAGGTAGATAGATAGATAGATAGATAGATGATAGATAGATAGATAGGTAGATAGATAGATAGATAGATAGATGATAGATAGATAGATAGGTAGATAGATAGATAGATAGATAGATGATAGATAGATAGATAGGTAGATAGATAGATAGATAGATAGATGATAGATAGATAGATAGGTAGATAGATAGATAGATAGATAGATGATAGATAGATAGATAGGTAGATAGATAGATAGATAGATAGATGATAGATAGATAGATAGGTAGATAGATAGATAGATAGATAGATGATAGATAGATAGATAGGTAGATAGATAGATAGATAGATAGATGATAGATAGATAGATAGGTAGATAGATAGATAGATAGATAGATGATAGATAGATAGATAGGTAGATAGATAGATAGATAGATAGATGATAGATAGATAGATAGGTAGATAGATAGATAGATAGATAGATGATAGATAGATAGATAGGTAGATAGATAGATAGATAGATAGATGATAGATAGATAGATAGGTAGATAGATAGATAGATAGATAGATGATAGATAGATAGATAGATATTGTCAGGTGATAGACAGATAGATAGATAGATAGATAGACAGATATTGTCAGATGATAGATATATAGATAGATAGATAGATAGAGAGAGATATTGCCAGGTGATAGATAGATAGATAGATAGATAGATAGATAGATAGATAGATAGATAGATAGATAGATAATTTTGAGAAGCTTGTAGTTTGGAAAGTTAAAGTTTCAAAGTAGCTTCCCAAACACTGGCAGAAACTCATGCTGAGATCAGCATCCAAAACCCTACATGCTGCTCACCAGCTGCGCTCGTCTCTTCAGCAGGGAGCCAGTGTGTTCCTGGACGAAAATACAATATCCACAGTCTTTAAAAAAACACCAGCTTCTGTAGTATTATGAGATTTACAGCAGAACCACACCAGGGATTGAGTCCCCAAACCGCTGAAGATCCGTCAGAGCATCTAATCCTGTCCTGACCACTGCCGTGTGACCTCAGCTGGACCGACCCGCCACAATCTGATCCACGGGGAGTTGAGCATTAATAAAACACGACAGCAGTTTAGATGACTGGTGTTCTGGCACATTGTTCCACACAGCGTCCACAGGCTCCCCAAAAACCACAACAACACAGCGCAGAAAATCAGAGGTGGTACAGCCTTCAGCGATAGGCAGGAAAACCAGAACATTTTCCAGCCCAGTAGAAAAATCAAATCGTTCCAGAACGCACTCACGGCGCTCGCTTCTGATGGGCCGCGTCACACACCATTATCATCAGTTAGCACGCTAAAGCACGGATGACCACGCGCAATACCGAGAACGCCAGCTCTCACCGATGTCAGTTAAAGCTCTTTAAGCCCAACAAATA